GAATATTGAGGTTTTAAGGGCAGCCTCTTTGCTTTATATCACTTGATAAAACAAAGGTATCTGCTGGAGTCAGTTTATTTTATTGCATACCTGACACCTTTTTGTGGTTGAATTTTATTACTTGATTCATGAAAAAAAAAAAAAAAACTACAAGGTTTCTTTTCAGGTCATTTCCCATAGCGCTGTGGTTTCATTCTAATCCTTAGGAGCTTTGTATTCAGCTTTTTGTTTGTTTTACTTATTAATGAAAGTGAGTTGATAGTTCAGATAATATCTGGGCTTTAGTTACATAAATAAAAGAAGGAAGACTTTTTTCTTTTTTTTAAATAAATTATTTTAGGGACCAGCAGTTAGCGTAATGGCTATGTCGCTGAACTCTGATGTAGCCAACTGCGGTTCGAGTCCTTGACCTGGTGGCTTAAAATAACATCAAGCATGTGTGCGTGCGTGCCCAAGATCCCGAGAGGAGAATGGAGGAGAAGGGATTGTGGCGTGGCCATCCCCCCCGGGAGGTGATTTCTTGCTTTCTGTCTTTCTGTCTCTCTCTGTCTTTCTGGAGAGTGCACGTGCCCTATAGCAAAAACCTCTCAAAAAAAAAAAAATTACTTTTTTCTTCCATGACAGAGAGAAGCAGAAAGAAAAGAAAGCACTTCCAATAGGATCCTGACACTACAATCCACTCCCAGTTTCTTCCAGCCAGGGTCACAGGTACACACATGCCGACTGTAGTTAGGGAGGTCTCCAGTGCGGTCTCAGAACCTTCTCATGCCCTTTTGCCTGACAGACCATCACATTTTACTGCTGTGCCATGATCTGGCCCCCAACAATTCTTAGACTTCGTAAACATATTAGTCATTGGGGCCAGCAGGGTGGTTAAGGCTGTGAACTCCCCTATGACATGACCAACTGCAGTTCGAGTCACAGACCTGGAGGCTTGATTTCCCACTTACCCTGTCTTTCTCTCTCTGTCTCTCTCTGGTGAGAACACGTGCCCTTTAGCATATTGGAAAATAATAAATAAATAAATAAATAAATCTTTACAAAAAAGAAAAAAAAATATTTTAGACATAGTGTGTTCTCTAGGTAAAGGTGGTTAAAGCTTAAATTGGATAGAAACACAGTTGTGAATTTAGAATTTTCTTCCCTTTGACTATATTGTTTGGTACATAACAAAAAAACATAAAGTATAAAATTCTGGGGCCAGCAGGTGGTGTGGTGGTGAAGGCACTGGACTCTTGCATAGCCAACTACTGTTTGAGTTCTGGAACCAGTAGTTTGAAAAACACTCTAGGTGAGTATGCATGTGTGCCCAAAATCCCAAGAGGAGAATGAAGAGGGGATTGTGGCATGGCCATCCCCGTTGGAGGGTAATTTCTCAATTTCTCTCTCTCTCTCTCTCTCTCTCTCTCTCTCTTTCCCCGATGAGCACATGCACGCTTTGGCAAAAACCTAAAAAATAAATAAATAGATAAGAACTCACTTTTTAAAATAATTATTTTTAAATTTAATTTTATTCATTCATTCATTTCTTTTCATTTTCCCAGAGAGAGAGAGAAAGTGAGAAAGCAAGTCACCAGGTCCAGGACTTGAACCATGGTTGGGCATGTGGGAGTGTCCAGCATCTTAACCACCACTCTACCTGCTGGCTCCTAAGAACTCACTTTTAAGCAATCCAAGAAATATATGAGGTACAATTTGTATATTAGACACTGAGCAGGACCAGCAACTTAGTTCTTACTCTTCTCACTACTTTTTCAAACAAGTTAAAACTGATAAGAAGCACTTGGGAAACATACCAGTCCTTGCGAAAAATAACTCAACTCATGCTAATCTGGCAAAGACTTAAAGGGCCTAAATTCCTGAAAGCATTAGGGGATTTTTCTCTCATTTGTTTAGTATGCTGTATAGGAATGATTTTTGTTACAACAAATTCTGAGTTAAAATTTTTTCATTTGGTATTTTCTATGACTGCACTTGCAGCCTGTGAAAAAAGATGGTTGCTTAAGGTGACACCGCAGAACATTGCAGGAAGTGTTGATTAGAATTTACACATTCGCTATTTAGCAGGTTTGCTAATGGGAATTAGGGACTCTTCCATCACTGGTAAGCTATGGATCATAGCCTAGGAGATTTTGTGATTCCTAGGAGATATTGCTGTTAATATTTTGGTGCATATCTATCCAGTCTTCCCTCTCCTCATATTATTATTAATTTTTTTTATAAAGAATTACTTTATTTCACTTTATTTTCACTTGACCAGAGAGGGACAGGATGAGAGAGAGAGCAAGGGAAAGTAAGAAAGCAAGCTGCCATGTCTGGGACGTGAACCAAAGACAGCCATGTGGGAGTCCAGTGCCCTTAACCACCACACCACCTGCCAGCCCCTCCTCATATTATTTTTTCAAGTTTGTTTATTTTACTCATAATGGAAAGCTTGGGTCCACACCGGGGGCAGGAGGGGGGTGCAGATACCAAGCAAGGTCTAGTAATGCTATGATCCCTGCCCCAGCCCTGCAGCTCCTCGGGACGTTGGAAACTCATGCACCCAGCATATTTAGGTTGACGAGGCTGACGATCTGAACTCACAGTTGGCCATGTGGCTTTTAGACTACAGTTTGGTAAGCTATGATGGAGACTAGGTAACTTCATATTTTTTGCTTTACAAAGTTGATCGCATAGCATACTTGATATTTCACAATTCTTTTCTCACTGACAAGTGTGATTAATTTTTTAGAAGCTATGTTCAACCTTATAAGTTTTTCTTGTTTTTTTTTTTTTTTTTTTTTTTTTTTTTTTGGGTGTTTTTAACAT